TGTTTTAATATCTTGGGCAACATCCCAATCATTACCTAGATTAATTCTGGATTTGACCAGTGAATATCAATCCAAGCAGCTTCATGTCACAAGGCAACTGCTATGTGAGTTTGGTGGTCCAGCAGGAACCTAAGTAGTTACAGGCAAAGCATTCCCTGGTGGCCAGCAGGATTATTGATAATCCTCCTGGGAAGGCTATCCTCCTATATGCCAAAGAGAAAATGACAAAGCTGAACTGGTGATTTGGATATAGGCATACTATCTTTCTATAAATTTAAGGAAGACAGCTCTCAAGTCAAATAATCAAAGGGGCCCGGGTTGGGTGGCAGAGGCAGTGTTACAAATGTACTTTACTTTGATGCATGTACTTTGATTCTATTAGAGTGTTATCATTTTACTTCTGCTTATATCTAAGACCACAGGCATGCTAATAAAGAGGTCACTTTAAATATGCCTCAGCAGTTTGTTGACATATTCTTCTGAAGAGATGAAATGTTTACTTCAATGTCATACAGCAGTCTGTACCACTTTAAAGCATATTAATCTAGAAAGTGCTAGCCTTCAAAGGAATGCAAATCCTTCTAGTCCCCAGAACTAAAATAACTCCATTAAATTTTAGGGATTAGAAGAGCTAGTCTGTTCATACTCTCCTCTCTAGGGAAGGGGTCCCCTGCCAAATCCCAAAGCAAAGCATATGGAGATACTCAGTGGTGATAAAAAAAAAATCAAGTTTATTTACATATTAACATATAGAATTTGAAGTAAGAAAAGATTGAGGGGAACTAGATGAGATCAGAATGACTCAGGAGAAATCACAGTAGGAGGAGAAGACAAAGAAAGCCCTGAAAGTAAGGGAGAAAAAAATCAGAAGTACTCTGATGACCACAACTTCTATGACAAAAATCTATATAGGGAATATGGTTGTTCCCATTTTTGAACCTAGAATCCTCTGTCTCCTAATTCTGCCCTCCTCTCAGAATCCAGGTGTCCTATCTCCTGATCAGCTCTTCTCATTGCTAGCTTCCCATCCTCTTCCCAGAACCCAGGAGTCCCATTTCTCAGCACAAGCTAAGGAAAAAAAACAGATCTACCTGGTGGTGCTTGGTATCTTCTCCTGATGAGATATTACTCTTTTTTTTTGTGGTGTTTAGAGATTTTGACACGCTTCGCTCGCCATGTAGATCTTCTCCTTTCCCAACAGGAAGGTTCTGCCTTTTCTGGAGAGGAGAGTTCTGAACTTTCTTGTAAAAAGGAGGGTCCTGGCCTTTCTCTTAAGGAAGGCCCTGGATTTTCTTCCTGGGAACTATTTTGCCCAGTCTCTCTGTAAAAATGCCTTCTGGGACTTACGGTTTTACTGCAACCAGGTATTTCACCTAAGATTTTAAATATACAGCCTACGTTAAGAGAGATGTGTGAAATGAAAGCCAAATTTTTGTAGTCTCCAAAGTGTTGGTCAATGAATTCCCAGGTAGCCACTGAGGAGTTCCAAAACAAACTCTATGTCTCTAAACTGAACTCTAAGTCCCCTGGTCTCATTACCAGGCCTTGTTTCCTTCCCAATAAACAACAGTCTTTCCTCCTGTTTCTTTTTTTTTTTTGTTTAGACCAAAATTTATCCCAGCCCCAGAATAAAAGAATTCTGATGTTCAGTCATACCTGTTGATACACACTCTGCACATTCCCACTTCTTAGAGTTGCTCCTAAGAGTGGAACAACTTTTGTGGGTTCCTTGGGATCCACAAGTAGTACACAAAATGAGGCTCCACCTCCTATAAGGAGAACCAAAAAGGGGTTGTTAGTGGGTACCCAGTCCTAAGACTGGATTGGAAAGAAAATGTATTAGGCTACTAATCTCACCAATGAATAAAAAGTATAATAGCACTATGAGGTAAAGGGACTTATCAAAAGACAGTAAAGTGAGTGCCAGTGATTGAAGGGGGAATGAAACCTAAAAGGCCTGTTCTCTAATGGACTGTGAACATCCTGGAAGAGGTTGTAAAGCTTAGGGAATGAGTTGAATTTTATGCTTCTGGATACTGGTGCTGAGATAAACTTCAATAAATGGGAATACAAGGGACTTCACCAGCCATAAAGTAGCTTTCTACTTACCCTTCATTCTCAAAGTTGTCTCTGCCATCTTTATAAAGGCAAATTGGAGCATCACAATGTTGATGGCGTTGGTATAATTCTGAGAAAGCCCCTGGCTCAAGTTCCCAGGCAGCATCTCTGCAGAAAGAGGAGAAGTTGTGAATAAGGGACAACCGGTGTACAATCAAAGGTTTGGAATCTCTGGCCACTTGGCCAGGAGCCAAAGTGAGGCAAGGGGCTATACACACAGCAAACAATGCAATTCAACAAATTGCGTTATTGAGTGCCTACCCTGTACCAGGCACTGTGCTAGGTAAGGGGGAATACAAAGACAAGAATGAACACAGTCCTAACCCTCTAGGAGCTTACATTCTAACTTGGGAAAAATAACATGAACACAAATAAACATAAAATACATCCAAAGTAAATTCAAAGTAATTTGGGGTTGAGAAGAGGAAAGGCCTCCCATTGGAAGTAGAAATTCAGTTGAGTTTTGTATAGAGCTAGAGATTCTAAGAGGCAGAGAAGTGAGTAAGGAGATGTGACATTCTAGGCACAAGGAACAGTCAGTGCAAAGGCGTGGAGGTAGGAGATAGGAAAGGAAGTAGGATAGGGAACAGCCAGTAGGCCAGTGTGGCAGGAAGATAACATGTTAAAGGGGCAGTAATGTGAGTCTGGAGGGAGAGGGTAGAGCCAAATTGTAAATGGCTTGAAATGTAAAATAGAAGTTTGTATTCTATCCTAGAGGTAATAAGGAGCCACCAAAGCTCTTTGAGTAAGGGAGTGTCATAAACAGATTTGTGCTTTAGAATTATCAATTTGGCAATTGTTTGGATGACGGACTGGAAAAGAGAGGCTGGAGGTTCTGCAACCAATCAAAAAGCAATTGCAAGAGTCCAAGGGAGAAGTGATAAGGGCCTGAACTAGGGTGGTGTGAATTCCACAGATTTTGTGGAGGAAGATTCAACAAGACTTGGCAACTGATTGTTTGTGATAGGGTGAGTGGGACTGAAGAATTAAGGATGATTCCTAAGTTGTGAACCAGGATGATTCAAAGAATGGTAACATTCTGGACAAGAACAGAGAAGGAAGTGGGATAGGATAAGGGGAAAAGGTAATGAATTCTGTTTGTGCATATTGAGTTTGAAAGGCCTACAGGTTATCCACATTGAAATGCTGGCTTTGGTGATATGGGACTGGAGCTCAGGAGAGAAATGAGGAATGGGTTGGTCAATTTAGGAGTCATCTTCATAGAGATGATAAGTGAACCTATGAAAGCTCATGGGATCCAATAAGAGAAACAATGTAGGAAGAAAGGGAGGGGAGAGGAGAGGAGAAGAACCTCGGGATGCAGCCACACATAGGGGGTGTGACATGGATGATGTTTCATGGATGATTCAGCAAAGGAGACTGAAAAGGATCAGACAGGTGGGAAAAGAACTGGGAGAGAGCTTAGTAAATGCTTGCTGAAAAAAAAAA